CTCCCTGGTGCCTAAGCAAATCTGGCAGTGAAACTTCAAAGATCTGTAATTAAGACAACGGGTATGGAAAAGCGGATTTGTATCCTATGTCTGGATAACTGCGTACTTCTTTACGTTTCCAAGTACATACAGTGATTCTCTAAGAAATTGGTAGTGAGTTCTGCATGGCACATTGAGGGAGGGGAGATGAACGGGTCTGTGGTTGTAGCCAAGTTGCCATCCTTTGGCAACTAACTCTCCTTGCACCTATGCCCACATTGGGGCATAGCTATGGAGGAGGGATGAAAGGAAAAACAGTTATGGAAAATACATGGGATGAAACATCTTAAATAGTTCCTGTAGGAAAAGCTCCAAGTGTTACTATCCTCCTTTCTTGCACTTAAATTCTTCCCCTGTTTTAAATATCAAGAATAACATCAGATCCTGATAGTGAGAATTGTCTAAGTACCACACAGGGGCACAAGAAACGTCTGTGAGGAATGTCAGAAAGCTGCATGTTCTGTGTGTGACTTGTCCACCCACCTATAAGATGGTACTCGAGACCACAGAAAGCTTTTCCACCTCTGTCAAGTCTCTAATGCTCCTGTCTACAATGCCTGTCTCTGGAAGAGCTCTTTTTCCTGTTCCAGAATAACTGGCATGTAACCCAAGTATTCTTCTTAGAAAACAGCAGGCTTTGTCAGCAGCAGGTTTTCAAGGAAATTGGCTGTTTAAAACCATATCCTAAGTAGCCAGCTATACATATATTAGCCTTAGCTGACCTATATGGAAATCCAGTGTCTGTCATCTCTTTGTTTCTGTAGTCGTTATCTTTAAATAATCAGCTGGTTTGTTTGCTAGATGTTGGTCGTGGGTACTGTTTTTCCACTGCATTAGCAGTGGAAGGTAATAAGCCGTTTGTTTTCCTGTAATGAGGAGCACTCCGCTGCATGCTTTCTAACTGATTAGATGAATTATGCTTTATTTGCCTTGAGAAGAACCATACTTAAAACAACTTTCTGAAGAGGAAATGAGGCAGAGGGCACACAAGGGGGACAAAAAAATGGCTCTATCCCAATGAATGCTTCCTGAGCTGCATTTTCACACATTTCTTGACTGAGCAATTGTGATGCTTATTGCTGGAAATGTACCAGGCTAGAAATTAATTGCAGGCTAATTACTTCATGCCAAGAAGCTACCTGATTATTTCTCAGATTCGCTACAATGGCAATTCTAAAAGTGCTTATGTACCTTCCTTACTTCAAGACTCTATTGGAGGATTTTATCAGTGGCAAACACAAGTGGGATAAGCCCTTTCGTCAGAATCAAACTGCACAGATCAGGTGTTTTTTAAAGAGTTATTTTCGTGACTTTGGTACCTGCAGTCATTGAGATTTGTGATGGTCACTCAATGCATTTATGATAGTGGCAGAGGGTTATGCACCAGGGTGATACTCTGTGTATCTCTATATAGGCTGTTCCCTAGCCAACAATTTATACACCAACAATCTATTCAGAAGGAAGACTTTTTAAAATTATTCACCACACTCAATGGGACACCTTGTTCTTTAAAGGAATTGTTGCCACGATATTTTATCTCTTGACCTATGTCTTGTTTAGAATAAAATATATTTCCTTTGCAGAAGCAATTCACGCTTATACTCTCCTGAATTATGCTAAACAATCAGTTTCATTTCTTATCTGCAAGGATGGAAGCTTTTCACCTTTTTTTTTTAAATTGAACTCTCTCAACCTTAATCTTCTCTGTAGTTCCTCATATATGAGGTTCATTTTATGGGAATTCTCTGATTTTTTTGCCATTTTAAATGGTCTCATACAATAGTGCCTTGAAATGTGCAAACTATAATGTGAATTACCATCTTTTGTTAATCCTCCCAGAGAAGCCTAATATTTCAGTGCCTATTAAACACAACTGGCCCCACTGTGCACCAGAGACCATTCTTTATTGGTGTTACAAAAAAAAATAAAAAGAAAAAAGCAGACAACATCTGGTTAAAATAGTGTAATTTGGATGCCTCAACTAATCATTGGTTTTATCCCACAGGGGGTAAAAGGGTTACCTGGCTAAGTCACATTTGAAAACTTGATGCTTTCTGGGTCAGACACCAAAGAGTTTGGCCCTGGTCTGAGAGAGGGGAAGCCGTGAGGGCAATCACTGAAGAGGCAGCCTGTTATAGGAAGGTGCCATGGGAAGTCACAGACTCTGCTGATAGAATCATAGAATCATAGAATGGTTAGAGTTGGAAGAGACGTTGAAGATCATCCAGTTCCAACCCCCCTGCCCTGGGCAGGGACACCTCCCACCAGACCAGGTTGCTCCAAGCCCCATCCAGCCTGGCCTTGAACCCCTCCAGGGATGGGGCAGCCACAGCTTCTCCGGGCAACCTGTTCCAGGGTTTCACCACCTTCACAGCAAAGAATTTCTTTCTGGTATCTCATCTATATCTCCCCTCTTCCAATTTAAAATCATTACGCTTTGCCCTATCACTGCATTTCCTGACAAAGAGTCCCTCCCCATCTCTCCTGTAGCTCCCTTCAGATATTGGGAGGCTGCTCTAAGGTCTCCCCAGAGCCTTCTCTTCTACAGGCTGAACAACCCCAGCTCTCTCAACCTGTCTTCATAGGAGAGGTGCTCCAGCCCTCTGATTGCCTTCGTGGCCCTCTGCTGGGAGACCATGATGAAGAGTGAAGAGCCAGTCTTCTCCATGGCTTGCATTGCTGGCAGATGCTTGTTCAGCACTTTGGAAGATGAATCCTTCACATCAGGGGAAAGCACAAGAAAGAAATAGTGTTGGATACCCTTATCAAGCAAACAGGAAAACTGCTTTCTCTCTTACTTGCCTTTCTCAGTGACGTTCCGTCCTGCGTGGTGCCTGTTACAGTAAGCTGGTTCTTTTAGGGATGAGGGCTGATAGGAAGTCCAAAAAAGGAAGAACTACCCAGGTTTCTTTGAAAGGCAGTTATAAGACCAAATTCGTGCAAGTTCCTTTTTAAAGTAGACCATGGCTCAAGCACTCTACTGTTCATTATTTTTTATTTGCTTCACTGAAAGTGTCTCCTGAGAAAGAAGCAAAGCCTTTGGCATTTTACATTTTTCAGTGGTTCCTTTATTTTTCAGCTGTGCTGTTCCCTAGATGCAATTTGCCCATTCTTTGAGGCTTTTTTTTTATCTTTGTGATATGGAAAAAAATTCTGATTGAAAGATTGATGGGCAGATATCTCTCTGAACTATTATGTGCTTTAAGGCAAGAGCAGGGAACAAAGAGAGTTACAGATGTCCTTTGGAAAGAGAGGCCAAAGCTCGAGTGGGCAGGAATAGGGAAAGAGATACCCGTCAAACACACTGAAATACAAGGTTGGGAGAAATTCTTGATATCCTGTTTCCATAATAAGTGCTTGACAATGTAAATTGAATTCACAGAGATTAGTTTATAAGAGGGAATTGCCTGATTATAACATAAGAAAAATTCAGCAAATTTCGGAGTGAAATTCTCACCTCTGTTGAGGGGCAGCACAGCCTATGAAAAACTTGCATCATATTTTGAGGATTAAAATTAAAATAGCAGCTATTAGGTTCATTTATTCTATTTTGGTAAAGGCAGCAGAGTTGCCCCTGGAATGCATTAGGATGCTCAAAAAGACACTGAAAGCAAGATACATTATTACTAATTTCCCTCAGTTTAATTAATATTAGACAACTTGAAATCAAACACATTTCCTGTTCTCTTCACTATAATTCTGTGGCACCTCATGTGTCACTTCTGGAGTATTGTTGACTTGACCAGTGTTTTCATACAGCTCCAACAGTACAGCTCACCAGCCCACTTCCACCCATTGAATATATTTTGTATTAGCAGATGCCTTCCAAAAAGAAAAGATTGAATAATCTTTAGGCTTCATGCAGTTATTGGGGGTTTATTATAGCTCTGGAGTTAATCAGAATTTAGAGATGCAATTATTGTTTAGCTGCACACCAAGCATCATCTTTATGATAAGCACTTCTTGAGCTATAGGAAACAGTACAGAATGAGCTGCATTTCTTTTGTCTTTAAATCTCTTTGCACTTTCCTCTAAAGCTCTGACAAGCCTGAAATCTTCAGATGCTGTAAAAGAGGCAGCAGAGACTGATTAAACAGCTGCTCCTGCTATCTGATTTAATGGTGATGATGAACTGGATGTTCTTGTGATCCAGAAGCTTTGCAAAGCAGTGTGCTGATTTGTGAGCTTGCATTTAGAAATTGCCTTCCTACTTCAGAGAAATGCAGTGAATCATTGCGGGGGGGGGGGGGGGCAACCTACGCTTGGGATAGGTTGGGAGAGCTCAGGACAC